ACGGCACTTAACACTTGAAGAACAAAGGAAACCGCATCGGACTGGGGGAGGGATCCTGACTGAAGGAGATTCAGCCAGTAAGACAGCTGTAACATGCAATGAAAGCGACATTTGCTTTGAATTCACTTAGCTTAATAAATTAGGTATTAGTTTCACTTTACTTTTATTTTCTTGTAACCGGTTCTGACTTTTATGCCTCATTTCTTGTAGTCACTTAAAATCTATCTTTCTGTAGTTAATAAACTTGTTTTACTGATTCATCTAAGTCAGTATGTTTGGATTGATGTGTTGGGTAAACTCCATTTGGGATAACAGGATTCGCGCATATAATTTTCTATTAATAAAACGACAAACTTTATATGAGCTAGTATTGTCCAGGAGGCTACTGGGCAGTACAAGACACACATTTCTGGGGAAAGTGTGGGACTGCAAATTTGCTGGTGTTGCTCTGCAGCATAATTAATGAATGGCTGGCTATAGCACTCATACAATATAACTGGGGGTAACTTACATGCTGGAGGCTGTGTGTGAGTAGAACAGGCGTGGTAGCTCTCACAGAGAAGCAGTGTAAAAGGCACCCCAGGTTGGAGAATTGAGGGGACACAGCTGTTCAGTCCAGATTGTACCCTGGGTAATGTCACAGAGGGAGAGAGATGCTGGTCTCTGCCCAAGAGAGGTGATGACTGAGGAGCCAGGAACCTAGAGTGGATGCCTTTGGTAGACCATGGAGTGGGAAATACAGGTGCAGTTGCCCTGAACTGTGACACTGAAAATCTTTGAAAATTTTTGTGTGCTCTCCTTTTGATGCACATGCATAAATCCTGTTAGTTTGAACCATCATTAAAAATGAATACACCAGTTCCTTTGTTTTCATGTGCACAAATATGCATCTGAGCAGACAACAGAATCAATAAGTGTGTACTCAAAATTAGCTGGCTGGGAACAGTAAACAGCTTCAGAAATTGGGAAAGCAATTTTTTTGCAGCAGGTAGCTATTTCCAAAAACAAGATTAAATTAATAGATGAGACAGTTCTTAGTTATCTGGAAATCCAAGTATCCTATCAGTAAAATAATCAATATTTCAGTACTGTGATGAAGTAAACATTTTCCTTACTAATAACTCCTGAGAGAAACATTGAACTCACAGTTTCAGGGCTTAATCCTTAGTGCTGAGGGAGCAATGCAAAAACAGCGCTAAGCCATCTTTTTGCCATTCCCAGTTCTGGGACCTACTGGGTGCCGAACCAGCTCCCAGCATTAATCAGAACAGCCACAGGGAGAATGCAAAGGGATGGGGGAATAAAAGAATCCCTTCTTACTCCCTGGCTTGTAAAGATTGCATAAATGCTTGAAGTAACACATTTAAATATTCCACATCTATCCCCTATTTCTTTCTTTGACATCCTGGAAAAGTGTAGAAAATATATAACAATAATATTTTCATACATATGTGCATACATACATATATATATAATATGAATATTTACATATTCAACATGAATACATACTCTCCTATTTAAATCCTGCAATTTCTTTTTTTCTCTTACTTCAGTTACCATTGCAGTGGTCTTCCAATAGTTAGGAAGGCAGTTCTCAGCCTTGAGCTTTTTTCAGTTCAGGGTGGTATCAGATGCAATCCTGCATTTCACCTCCAAATTCCTGCCTTGAGCATGTCACTTCAGCAAGGTGCCTGAACTAGGCAGCAGCAAGAATCCTAAAGACTTCATCAGCTAGATCTCCTGCATGGTGATTGCTCTACGCTAGTACTAAGCCGTTGTGCTGACTGAAGCTTCACATTTCATAACTTGTCTATGTGAAAGGAATATGATCTGTAATTTATGGTATGTGGTCTTGTTTCTTTTGTGAGAGTGGAAAGAGGTCCTTTGGGCAAGGCCATCCTTTCGGCCACATTATTCCTTATCATGGAATAAAGTAGTGGAAACTTTTAAAATACACCATAATAGAGGCTCAAATTACATGAATAACCCAATTAAAAAACACAGGAAGAAGATCAAAAAAGTGCCACCGTGGCTAAACAACAGAGTAAAAGAAGAGGTAAGAGGCAAAAAGGCATCCTTTAAAAATTGGAAATTAAATCCTACTGAGGAAAATAGAAAGGAGCAGTTCAAGTGTAAAAGTATAATTAGGCAGGCCTAAAAAGAATTTGATAATTTTTGAGTCTTTGGCTAGTTGCTTATCAGCATGAAATATTTTAAGTAGGGCTGTCAATTAATAACAGTCAATGCATGCGATTAATGCAAAACAAATTAACTAGATTAAAAGAAATAGTCGTGATTAATTGCAATTTTAATTGCACTGTGAAACAATAGTAGAATACCAATTTAAATATATTATAAATATTTTTGGATGTTTTTCTACATTTTCAAATACATTGATTTCAATTACAACATAGAATACAAAGTGTACTGTGCTTACTTTATATTATTATTTTTAATTACAAATATTTGCATTATAAAAAAGATAAAAGAAATAGTATTTATTTTTCAGTTCACCTCATATAAGTACTATAGTGCAATCTCTTTATCATGAAAGTGAAACTTACAAGTATAGATTTTTTTAACCTAACTGCACTGAAAAACAAAACAACGTAAAACTTTAACGCCTACAAGTCCACTCAGTCCTACCACTTGTTCAGCCAATCGCTAAGACAAACAAGTTTGTTTATATTTACGGGAGCTAATGCTGCCCACTTCGTATTTACAATGTCACCTGAAAGTGAGAACAGGTGTTTGCATAGCACTGTTGTAGCCAGCATTGCAAGATATTTACGTACCAGATATGGTAAATATTTGTATGTCCCTTCATGCTTCAACAAACTGATAAATTAAACAGTGATAAGTCACCAGAACCAAGCGGTACTCACCCAAAAATTTTGAAGGAACTCACATATGAAATTGCAGAACTATTAAGTGTGGTATGTAACCTATTATTTAAATCAGCTTCTGCATCAGATGACAGGCAGATAGCTAAAATGACACCAATTCTTAAAAAAGGCTCCAGGGGCAATCCTGGAAATTACAGGCTGGCAAGCCTAACTTCTGTACCAGGCAAATTGGTTGAAACTATAGTAAAGAACAGAATTATTCGGACACATAGATGAACATGAATTGTTGGGGAAGAGTCAACACGGCTTTTGTAAAGGGAAATCATGCCTCACCAATCTATTAGAATTATTTGAGGGGGTCAACAAACGTGGACAAGGATGATCCAGGGGATATAGTATACTTGGACTTTCAGACAGCCTTTGACAAGGTCCCTCACCAAAGGCTCTTAACCAAAATAAGCAGTCATGGGATAAGATGGAAGGTCATTTAATTCATCAGTAACTGGTTAAATCACAGGAAACAAAGGGTAGGAATAAATGGTCAGTTTTCAGAATAGTGAGAGGTAAATAGTGGTGTCTCCCAGGGATCTGTACTGGGACCAGTGCTGTTCAACATATTCATAAATGATCAAGAAAAAGGGGTAAACAGTGAGGTGGCAACATTTGCAGATGATACAAAAATTACTCAAGATAGTTAAGTCCAAAGCAGACTGCAAAGAGTTACAAAGGGATCTCACAAAACTGGGTGACTGGGCAACAAAATGGCAGATGAAATTCAGTATTGATAAATGCAAAGTAATGCACACTGGAAAATGTAATCCAGAGCTAAACGAGCTGTTCCAACTCAAGAAAGAGATTTTGGAGTCATTGTGGATAGTTCTCTGAAAACATCTGCTCAACATGCAGTGGCAGTCAAAAAAGCTAACAGGATGTGAGGAACCATTAGGAAAGGAATAGATAATAATACAGAAAATATATCACTATATTAATCCATGGTACGCCCATATCTTGAATACTGCATGCAGTTCTGGTTGCCTCATCTCAAAAAAGATATATTAGAATTGGAAAAGGTACCGAGAAGGGCAACAAAAATGATTGAGGGTCTGAAACAGCTTCCATGTGAGGAGAGATTCAAAAGGCTGGAACTTTTCAGCTTGGAAAGGAGATACTAAGGTGGGATATGATAGAGTTCCATAAAATTGTGAATGGTGTGGAAAAAGTGAATAAGGAAATGTTATTCACCCCTTCACGTAACAGAAGAACCATGAGTCTCCCAATGAAATTAATAGGCAGCAGGTTTAAAACAACAAAAAGATGTACTTCTTCACACAATACAGAGTCAACCCAGTGAACTCATTGCCAGAGGATGTTGTGAAGGTCAAAAATATAATGGGGTTCAAAAAAGAACTAAAGTTCATGGAGGATAGGTCCTTCAATGGCTATTAGTCAAGATGGTCAGGGATGCAACCCCATGCTGTGGGTGTCTCTAGCCTCTGACTGCTAGAAGCTGGGAGTTGATCACTAGATGATTGCCTGTTCTGTCCATTCCTTCTGAAGCACTTGGCATTGACCACTGTCAGAAGACAGGATATTGGGCTAGATGGCCCATTGGTCTGATCCAGTATGGCTGTTCTTATGTTTATCTTAAGGCCATTTGTCAGGCAAATCGAACCTTCTAGCTAAACTTGGTTGCAGTTTCCCTCAGAACTTGTCAACATTGCACAATGGCAGCACAATGCAACTTCACATCCTATGAGTGACAGCACATCACACAGCTACTAGACTGCAGGTTGGCTTTGAATTAAGTACCTTATGATCTCAGACCTTTTTGGTATATGTTGGAGATCAAGACCAAAAAGACCAGAAAGTATAGCTATGGCTAGCATATGAAGTTTTCTGATTGTTTTAGGAAATAGCTTGGAGGAAGAAAATTAAATGTGTCTTATCTCTTTCTTTGCTAAAGAGAAAAAAGCAAATAGAAAATGGTTCTTTCCAATTACAGTTTTAGCTAAAATAATGGGGTTAATTATTAAACCTTTTACTTAGTTGCTCATTTTTTCTGCTGATGCTTTAATCCTGGGTCACAGAAAGTTTAAGACTGCTTTACTGTGGTGCCTTTTTTTCTTTTTGCCACAAGTTTTCCACTCTGAAAGGATGTTAGGGGTTTTGCTGCTTGCGTTCTCCTTGGTTACCATTGTTCATTCTGAGGTCTGCAGGCCAGGTAAGTTTTGCAATTGAGCCTCATCCTTTATCAGTTAAATGTCTCAACTTGGTGGACACTTTCAAAGCTGGCCGCTTAGACTTATTTTTGTAACACTTCTTATAGAGTTTGAGGGTGTTTGCTCTGAACCTTCACCTCTTTTGTGAGTTTGTGAATAGGTTGCTAAAGCCAATCTTATTCTATTCTGAAGAGATCATGGTTAAAACCACATTGAGAATCCACTGTGTCCGGGCTTGTTCACACTAACAATGTCGAGGTCTCCTAATCATGTAATAAGTTAAGATACATTTAGAAGCTTTTAAGACTATGCTCTGTAATACAGTTGGAAAAGTAAATAATTTAAAAACCAATTTTCCAAGATTATTTTTATGTTTATTGCTTTCTTTTTCTTTGTGTCAGATGCACAGAATGCTTTCAAAGTACGGCTTAGTATCAAAACAGCTTTGGGAGATAATGCAGTAAGTAAAGTATCTTCATGTATTCTTTCTGACTGAATAACTGACTAAGTAGAGCTAATATATATGGTAAAATCTCTGTGGGGACAATTTGCACTGACGTCCTCACTGTAATAAACTGGCCATCAAGTCATAATTCAGGTATTAGTTTCTTGAGGTTAGGATAGCATTAGTCTAAAACAAGTGTCCTTTAAAACAGTAAGTATAAAGCATACCTCTTCATAACGAGAATGTTCCATGTACATTATTTTGGAAAGCACTTAGAGATATTGTACCTTCAATATGAAAAGTGCAATGTAAAGACAAATTCTCTCTCTCCTACTTTGGCTAAAGCTGCTCTGCTTGAGAATGCTAAAAGGTAAAGGCAAGCAAGTGGTGGCAGATAAGAAGGAAAAGACTTAGATCTTCCTTAGTTTTGATTTTATTTCAGACTTTCAGATCGATGGACAGAACCCATCAATTCATTCCCAGTTTCGAATACTTACAGTATATCTCCTGTATGTTACAGGGTTCAACATTGAATTAGATATGAAATGTCTTGATCTTTTTCTTTATTGGAAGACAAGAACCCAGTTATGCTAGAAGCCTAGGAAATAAACTGCCACAATAATATGTTGTAAAAGGTATTTGTTGCAGATACTCAAGCTCTTTTTATGACACAGGAAGCTATTCCCAAATAAAACTGAAATGTCAAATAATTTAAATCTGTGTGAGCAGGGACTTGATTGTGATAGAAAGTGCAACAGTCAGAACAAATAGGGAATAGATCCTCAGGATATATGTTAAAGTATTTGTCTTTGAAAATCAATATTTAAGTCAGCTTTCCTTGGCTAAGAAACTTTAATAAAAACAGATTAAGTTGGATTGTTTTAAAAATATATTTAAAATAACATAATCCTGCAGCAGAAAATATGATGAAATTGTACCTGATACTCACCTTGATTACAACTGTTTCCATTCTGAGCAAAGAATGAAAGTGACAGTTCACGTTTTCTCCCTTAACAATAACATCTCTCTGACTATAGTCAAATAAATATTTTTTTCAGTTACTCTACTCTTTACTATTTTACTAAGTTCTGCATCACAAAGCACCTAAGACCTGAAGCAGTAGCCCAAAGGTACCCCTTATTCTGGCTTTTGTTATAATAAAGTATTCCTCTAGTTGTTTTACGCAGAATAAACTCTAGTTTATTTCACACAGTATGAGAGGTTTGAATAAAGCTAAGACCTGTAACAATCTAATTTAGGATAATTTTTACATCAACAACCTGCTGAGAATAGTTTGTTGACACACAAAAGTATCACCAGATGGTCAATAATCGCTTCTCTGGGTGCACAATGAATGGTTACCTTTTTACAGCACTTCTAATGCCGTCTGCAAATAAATTAAATTCAAATAGATATCAATATACTCTAAAATTAATTCAGTCTTAATAATTTGGGGCACAATGCTATCTTTCCAGTTTTAACATGGAGGAGAGAGAATACAATCACATAAGTTTCAGATGGAAAATATATAGTCTCCTATTGCATCATTGATTAGATGCTCTGCTACTTAAATCTCTTTTATTCATTTTCAGATGAATGTGCAATATACAGTGATACAAGACTATAAGCAGTACTGGCACTTTAAATCTTGGATGGCAGGATCACCCATAAAGATGTATACATCCAGGGGGTTAGCATATAGGTCAGTAGAGCTAACAAATAATAGAGAATAATGTAATCAATTATTTTCACGTATTTTGTAATGGTAGCAAAGACAGACACCATTCTTTATCATGTTCAAGAATGAGACTTAATTCTTTGGTGCAGGGAACGTCATTTACTATTTTTATACAGCACCTCACACAATGGAGCCTGGACCTGGCTGGCCTGTTGGTGCTACTGTAATATACATATGATAGTATTAATACTTTTACTTTCTTTAGTTCAGATCATTATAGGTTACTACTGAGTTTCCTAAACTGTGTTGTCTGGACCAGTGGCTCTCAACCTTTCCAGACTACTATACCCCTTTCAGGAGTCTGATTTGTCTTGCATACCCCAAGTTTCACCTCACTTAAAAACTACTTGCTTACAAAATCAGACATAAAAATACAAGTGTCACAGCACACTATTACTGAAAAATTGATTACTTTCTCATTTTTGCCATATAATTAAAAATAAATCAATTGGAATATAAATATTGTACTTACATTTCAGTGTATAGTATATAGAACAGTATAAACAACTCGTATGAAATTTTAGTTTGTACTGACTTCAGTAGTGCTTTTTATGTAGCCTGTTGTAAAACTAGGCAAATATCTAGATGAGTTGCTGTACCCCCTTGGAAAACGTCTCTTTACCCCCAGGGGTACATGTACCTCTGGTTGAAAAACACTGGTCTAGACCATTGGTGATCCCGAGAGCCTCTGATCACATGGTACTGTATATCCTCTTTATTTCTAGCTACTAAATCACACTAAAGGGGAGCTGAAAATACAATAAATGCTTTACTAATATTTCTTTTCCATGTAAGCAATTGCTGTAACTCACACACAGATGTTATTTCATCACCAATGGAGGGAATGTGATCCATGTGATCACACAGTGAAAGGGAGGTGATCTGCAAGATAATCCATTAAAATGGTTTTAACATGATGAAATAATCTGAGAACTCTGGCAGTACTCGAATCCTTTTGATGACTGTCAGTCACATAGATATTTAGAGTGGTAGAGTTAAATTAATAGGACCATATTGACCATGGTGTAAATAAATATAATATGTGTTAAAGTCAATGATTGTTGTGCTTTCTTATGTCTAGGCTCAGTTTGACCCATAGAATCAGACTGCTAAAGCATCACACTGCCTTCTGAATGCTAGATCTGTCTGTATAACTCTGCTACTTTAGAGAATATAGAAGATGGTATGTGTAATAGCTCTCTGATCAGCACAGAACCTGTAGTTTTAAATATTGCAGTTTTGTTTCACTGATAGTCTGCTATTGCTTTCTGAATTGCAAGTGAAGTGTTCAGAATATCTCTTGTACAAAGCAGTGCAATATGTGCATAAATAGTATGTAAACAAACCAAATTTGTACTCAGCTATTTAAAGATAAATGTATTTGGTAATGCTGCACTGCGTCTATTACCTATATTAGCATGCAATAGAGCTTACATAGTCATCTATTTTCAAGGCATCTCATGTGGATGTCTTGAGAGCTGGGCAAATAGGTATAATGATGAATATAACAGGGATTTTTTTCCTCTTGAAGCTGTCCTGAAAAAATGCAATAGTGTGTGGTGAGTCAATCAGTAATTCCATGAACAAATGAGAGGAAGATCTTTTCTTTTAGCACTGTAAACAGTGCTGTGTTGTTTGAATACGGATGTCCTTAAAATGATGAAAAATAGGTGTATGGTCCTCATCTACATTCAGTGTTCTTTTATACTATATCTTTTATTTTTATGTCTCAGTCTTTTTGTTGTTGCTGTCTCACATCTTCATCAGTTCTGTAGGAAGAAAGTTTAGGTCTCGGGAGAGAGTCCTTTGTTCAGACTACCATTTTGTCGTTCTATGTTCCTATATTGGCACGTATCACCACAGTATGTTAACACCATTCTTGTTTCCTAGACCAGCGGCTCTCAACCTTTCCAGACTACTGTACCCCTTTCAGGAGTCTGATTTGTCTTGCATACCCCCACGTTTCACTTCACTTAAAAACTACTTGCTTACAAAATCAGACATGTGCAGTAATAATCTGCAGTGTATTTGATGCTTTTTGTAACCAGGCTATAGTCAGTGCGAAAGTCTCAAGTGCGCTGCATCAGCCTACTCCAAGGGATGTGTGTGGTGAGTGTTAAGATTGTCATTCCCAAGGCATGTCTAGACCAGCAGGACTTGTGTAAGTGTATGGAATCCCAGTGAGGCCTTTTGAAAATACTAGCAGACATGCCCTTAACCATGTTCCGACCCTGCCTCTTTGTTTACCATTCTCAACTAGGTATTGCTGGCCCTCAGTTGCTGCTTATATCCCTTTTAGAAAATGCCATGAATGCCCATAGGACCCAAAACACCTTTTCAGTGACTAGTCCATGCAAGTTTGTCAGTGTTCTGGCCTCAACCACTAAAACATCCAGTGAGAAGCATTATTAGAATGTCAGGGTTAGAAGGGACCTCAGGAGGTCATCTTAGTCCAACCCTCTGCTCAAAGCAGGACCAATCCCCAGGTAGATTTTTGCCCCAGATCCCTAATGGCCTCCTCAAGGATTGAACTCACAACCCTGGGTTTAGTAGGCCAATGCTCAAACCACTGAGCTATCCCTCTGCTAAGTAATGGAAGCTCCTGACCGATCATACACTGAAGGCAAAGCAGTATTTCCAGAGCAGATTCTGAAAGCTGCTTTTCAGGGATGTTACGTTCACCACATTGGTCTGCTATTACTCCTACGAAGATCTGTTATCCTGTATGGAGTTGTGAATGAAAATATATAGAAGTGTTGTGTCATGCTAGTATATTTCTCTGTCTGCATATAGAAAACCTTTGTGAAATCCTGGCCCCATTGAAGTAAATAGCAAACCTCCCACTACATACCTCCCAACAGTCCTAGGTTTCCTGGGATTGTCCCACTTTGACCCCGAAACCTCCTGTCATGGATACAGTGGCTCCTGTCCCAAGGGGCTGCCTGGGCCCAGCTCCCCACTCCAGGCATTGCGACCTGAGTCCTGGCACACAGGGTCACACTGCTGTTCAGGTTCAGCTTGCCTGCCTCCCTGGTGAGGGGCAGCATGGCACCTGTCACAGTGCCACTCAAATTTGGCATGGCTACTACCCCATTAGAGTGCAGGGAGCCAGGTCCAGACCTGTGGGACAGGAGCCGCTGCTGTGGGGTGAGTCCAGGGTAGACTTGTTCTGCAACTCCCCAAGCCTCCCCCCCGCACTGGGGGCAGCACTCAACTCCCTCCAGCCAGGGCCTCCCACTCCCCAGGGCAGCACCTGACACCCCCTCCTGGGGCAAGACCTGTCCAACACCATTGGAAACGCTGGGAGGTATGCCATTGAATGTAATGGGGCTAGGATTTCACCCACTGTCTAGAAATGTACTTGTGGTTACTTTGTGGCTATATTGAAATGTAAAATAACATGCCCAGTGGTTAAAATATGTTTTCCTTTAGCTGAATATCCTAATCTGTCCTAACATTTTCTTTGCTTTAACTTTAATTCTGCAATCCTTTCCAACAGGGCCGCCCGGGGGGGGGGCAAGTGGGGCAATTTGCCCCGGGCCCCACAGGGGCCCCCACGAGAATATAGTATTCTATAGTATTGCAATTTTTTTTATGGAAGGGGCCCCTGAAAATTGCTTTGCCCCGGGCCCCCTGAATACTCTGAGCAGCCCTGCTTTCCAAGTGCAGTTATGATCAGCAAATTGACTATGTAAAATGACATCTTCTTACTCAGAGTTAATTTTTACTACTTTTTACCCTTTACCACTGTTTAGCCAATACATCCATGGAAGGGTTAGCTGAATTCTTTTCTGTCTGACACACAATCAATAATTAATAAAGAAGGCTCAGATTCACAGCCGGTGTAAGTTGGGCATAGTTCCATGGAAGTCAGTGGAGGTATGCCGCTTTACACAAGCTGAGAATCTGGCCCTACGTTCCAGTTGCAGAATCTTTATAACCTGTTGATACTTTGTGAATAAAAATAACACAGCTTGACTTTCAGATCTTAGAATAGATACGCAGAAATGGGCAGTTAGAGGAAAAAATCGTTGTACTAGCAAACTGAATAAATACAATATGAAGTTATTTAGGAATAATAAACATGGACCCACACAATTTTTTTTTACAAAGTCATTTTGCGAAGTTTAACTGCACTTTAAGCCTCTTCGTTCTATAGTTTCAATGAACGTTGTTACAATTATTGCTTAATATGCACTCAGAGATAGGAATTTTTTAGAAGCTTTCAGTTTTTAGCTCTTAGAACACTAATGATGTTAAGTGCAGTTTTCTGTCAGGTGTCAAGACAATGGGTTAAACTCAGCCCTTACGTAAGCAGGTGCAACTCCATTCAACTTAATTTAGAATTATACCTACCTATGAGAGCATATATATACTTATCCTGATATTTGGAAAACTGTATGTACAGATAGTAATGTATTCATTGTAAAAGAGGTATAGACAATGGTCCTTCATTTCTATGTCACTATCCAGCCTTGGTCTGTTTTCACTGAAAGTTGCTACTGTCTGATTACTGTTCAATAGCCTGTGTGAAATGAGTTGTTTTCATGATGTACAGATGTCCATATCTCAGAAACCAGCATCACAACTAGCACTTCTTCCCCAAACTTAACCAAGGTGCCTGTGCCCTGTACTGTTCAGACCACCTCTAGGAATGACAGTGAAGTCTACTCTCTCTGCCTGTTCAGGCCAAGGACAGAATGGGCATGGAGTGTAGACTTCACTTTTGTTCATAGAGGTGATCTGACCAGGATAGGTTCCAGGCACCTTGGTGGAGCTTGGGGAAGCTTCTACTGGTATTCCTAGTCTTTGATAAAGAGTAAAATTAGATCTCTAGTGCTGTCAGCCTGGCAACTTTCGTAAGCATTCAGTCCATTCAGATTTTTGAAAAGTTATAAAGTTCTGTGTATTGTACTTTCTGACAAGCCCTATAAAAATCCTTTATGCACAACAAACAGTATTCAAGAAGTTATTTTCATAACATTATCAGGAAGGTTTATTTCTTTTTGAATGATAGACTGTTTCAGGGTCAGTGCTCCATGCAACCCCCCTCCCTGCCGGTACTAGTGCTAGAACTGTTAATTTTCTATCTTTCTTTACAGTATGCCTGGGATGCAAGTGAAGAATATCTGTTCAAGGCAATGGTGGCTTTTGCAATGAGAAGATATTCCAACAAAGAAACAACTCAGTAAGTGCATACTTAGTCCTCCGCAGCATGGGGCAGGGGTCGCTTGCTGGAGGATTCTCTGCGACTTGAAGTCTTTAAATCATGATTTGGGGACTTCAACAGCTGAGTCAAGGGAGAGAATTATTCCAAGAGTGGGTGGGTCAGCTTTTGTGGCCTGCATCATGCGGGAGGTCAGACTAGATGATCATAATGGTCCCTTCTGACCTTAAAGTCTATGAGTGAGTCTATAATATACATGTTTACAATATTGCTTATGATGGAACCTATTTTGACATAGAGAAGTTATAGAAATAAACACTATGTAGAACCAGCATACTGCAATGCCATTATTATTATTATTTTGCCATTCTAATATGTGCTAGGCGGTTTATGATCTCTGCCCCAAGCAGTGTACAATCTATGGGCCAAATTCTCTGTTGCCGTAAATTAGTTAGTTGGCTTCAGTGGAGCTGCACCTATTAAACCAGCAGAGAATTTGGCCTTAAATGTAACATGACACCATAAGTGAAGGTTCTGAACAGCCAAGAGTTGGAGGAAGGGGAAAGAAAGAACAAGGGTGACAGCAATGAGAAATGCAGTGTTATTTCTCAGGTAGGCATGATGATAGAGGCTCAGTTCCCTTTTTTGTCGTTGGTTACCTATACTCCCCTTTGCATCTCATAGACAAGATGGCAGAAAGGCCAGCATGCAAGAAGACACAGAGATGCTTGTGAGAAAAGAAGACAAGAGTGATATACAATGACACACTTATCAGAATTTGGAGGGTTATCTGTCCCTAAGAGTACAACTTCCCAATTACCTTACACTCTATCAGGAAAAAGCTTCAGATTTCACACTTCAGGGCATAAGCTGATTACCAGCTGGAGTCAGGAGAAAATCTCCCCCATGTTATTGAGTATTATAACTTCCTCTCAAATTTCTGGTATTGGCTACTGTCATCAGACAGGCTATTAGACTAGATAGGTCTTTGGTCAGTGTCAGTATGGCAGTTCCTATGTCTTTAATATGCTCACCTCCTCCTTAGAGATGAAAACAATATAAAGATATTTTGGTATCCTATATTTTTTTTGTTTATGAATATAAACAGAAATGTCTGCAGTTCTAGTACATTACTGAGACCAGGCTTTAGATTTACTTTTAAGAAAAGCTGGCCCTGGCTGGCACTGAGTCTGATGAAGCGTTTTCCATATTTGCAAAGAGATTAGCTAATCTGAGTCATATGATATCTGATTGCAGCTACAGTACTGGGTTTTAAATAGAACAACTCCCATCCATAATTGAGATGTTGGTTCATTACAATTTCATTCTGATTTGTAAGAAGCTGTCCTTTAAGCTAGAGAGCCATATCTGGTATGTACCACCATTGCTTTCCTCAGGTTCCACAGGAACAAGTCAGGTGACAGCATGCTTCTGTTATTTTACATCATTGCAAACAACATGAATGCTACTCAGAGCAAATGAGTTGAAGTAAACAAATCATTAAAAGTGACCTGTAAAGCTTTTTCAGGATTGTTCGCTTTTCCAGCTTATGAGACTTATGGTCCATGAAGATTCACTTCTTACTTATTTTTGATACAAACCCTGTTTTCATAATTTTTTTCTTCAAATGTGGCAATTTCATCCACCTGGGGAAAAAACAAGGGAGAGGCATTTAAGCTCCACCCCCTGCTGACATCACTGCTAGTTGCATGCCATGCTAATAGCAATAAAAATAATAGTAAGTTGACTTGGAAGCAGAAAAATTATGATGCTGATACCAAATGGGCTTAAGTTTTTATCTGCCTTGGGAATTTACAGAACCTACTGCTCAAATAGAATCATAGATGTGTAGGACTGGAAGTGACATTGATGGGTCTTCTAGTCCAGTCCTCTGTACTCAAGGCAGCACTAAGTATTATCTGGAGTCTTGACCATCCCTGAGAGATGTTTGTTTAACCTGCTCTTAAAAATCTCCAATGACGGAGATTCCAGAACCTCCCTAGGCAATTTATTCCAGTGCTTAACCACCCTGACAGTTAGGAAGTTTTTCCTGATGTCCAACCTAAACTGCCCTTGCTTCAATTTAAGCCCACTGCTTCTTGTCCTACCCTCAAAGGTTAAGAAGAACAATTTTTCTCCCTCCTCCTTGTAACAGCCTTTTATGTACTTGAAAACTGTTACCGTGTCTCCCCTCAGGCTTCTTCCAGACTAAGCAAACCCAATTTTTTCAATCTTCCCTCATAGGTCACATTTTCTAGACTTTTAATCATTTTTGTTGCTCTTCTCTGGACTTTCTCCAATTTGTCCAAATCTTTCCTGAAATATGGCAGCCAGAACTGAGCACAGTACTCCAGTTGAGGCCTAATCAGCGGATAGCAGAGTGGAAGAATTACTTCTTATATTTTGCATACAACGTTCCTGCTAATACATCTCAGAATGATGTTTTCTTTTTTTGCAACAGTGTTACACTGTTGACTCATATTTAGCTTGTGATCCAATATGACCCTCAGATCTCTTTCCACAGTACTCCTTCCTAGGCAGCTGTTTCCCATTTTGTATGTGTGCAACTGATTGTTCCTTCCTAAGTGGAGTACTTTGCATTGTCCTTATTGGATTTCATCCTATTTACTTCAGACCATTTCTCCAGTTTGTTCAGATCATTGTGCAATTTAATCCTATCCTCCAAAGCACTTGCAACCCCTCCCAGCTTGGTATCATCCGCAAACATTATAAGTGTACCCTCTATGCCATTATCTAAATCATTGATGAAGATATTGAACAGAACTGGACCCAGAACTGATCCCTGCGGGACCCCACTCAATATGCCCTTCTAGCTTGTCTGTAGGGAAATACTGTGACAGTTTCTCCTTTCACTTAGGCCAGTTTGACACCAAAATAATTCCCCTTGTGGAAAAAAATCTTTTCCATAGACATTTTTAAATCTACCTATCAGTTTTAATACAGAATTGAATTTCTGCTATGGAGTCCTATTGATTAATTTATATACTTGGTAGAACAGTTGTCATTCTCTATTAAATTCCATATTCACTTCAATTAAGTTATTGCTCATTTATACCATTGTAGGTGAAAAAAAGAATCAAGGCCCACAGAAAGTATTATAATCTATACTTTCGTGTCAGGACTTCAGCTGGCTCCAGGTGTGGCCTCCTAGCAATCCAATGAACTTGGCTGGGCCCAATAAAACCCTCACTAAGTGACTGTGCTCCCTTTTTGGACAGAAGGGCCAACAGATCACCATTTAAGCCTTGTAGCAACAATAGCACAGTGGCTGCACAATGTGTTCCACGCCCGCAGCTGTGCCACACCTGCTTCCTGCACCAGCCCTTGCTCCAAACCTTGTCTGCTCTGCTCCAGTCCTTGTCCCTCCATTCCTCAGAACTGGCCCCGACCACTGTCTTATCTCCTGACCACCTCCCCAGTTCTACTTTTTGCTTCTGTTTTGGCTCTGGCCATTGACCTGTCTCCTGACCATACCTCCAACTCTGTCCCTTGGTTCTGCTCCAACCACTAGGCCAGGCTCTTGTTCCGATCACTAGGTCGTACTGCCGACCCCCCGGTGTGTGCCATTTTGTGCCAGTGTTGTTGCTTGCTTGGAGGTGAGGTTTTGTGTGTCATTGGAAAAGGAATAATTCTTTGGTGCTACATTGTTAAAGGAGAATCAATGTACTGTAATGTGTCATATTAGACCAATTAAAATGTTGTGTTGAAGTTACAGAATGTTTCCACTTTCTTTATCGGGTAGGGTTCTTTTAATATAGCAATGTAACTTTTGTGCCAGTAAATTATATGATTAGATAACCTGTTTAAATTCCATTTTACAGTTTCAGTGATTTTACTGGCAAAATGTCAATGAATTTTCATTAGGGGTTGTAGAAGATTCACCATGAGTCACTCAGTATCATAAAAAGAAAAACTAGCTGATTACCATTGAGGCATGTTATGGTCTAGATTTAAACAAATATGAGACATTGTACACAATTGATCAAAGATTTATGAAATCACAGGAACAGAGAATGATTGAAGGATTACGTTTTTGCATGAAGGTCCAAATCCATGTTCCCCTTGCAAGTATATTGGCTGTGCACAGAGGGGGATGATCTGGGAGGGGAAAGAATCATTGCTACAAGGTCACTGAGCAGCATGAGAGATGCTACATAGCTCCTACAGCAGTTTCAGGGCTTCATTAACTCTCCAACCTGATTCGTACTCTTCAAGGACATGAGAGATGAATAGTGAGTGGATCAGCATAGTCAGAACACCCTACCTGCTAGGATTCAAAGTGACCCCTTGCTAGACTCTTGGAGGAGGGATAAAAGGATTTTCTTCACTACGGTGACCAACTTTTGGCATAGGAAATGGCAATAGGCCAGCAGTAGGTGCCCATTTCTGCCCCTAGTAGGTTACTATTAAGCCCTGTTTAGACTTTACTTTATGTCAGGATGTCTGAGCAGGTTCCCATTAAATTCAAATTTCAATCTAAAATTTATTAAACTAGAATTTTAAAACTAAGCCACTGATTTGTGCTTAACACTTTAAAGACATATTAAATTGACAAAGTTGTGTGAGACAGAAAAATCACGCTACCCATTTGAGTATTCTATAATAATAGAATGTTTATTGAAAAGTTTAACTTTTCCAACAGAGGCACAAATCCTTGATTTCCTTCTCAATAGGGCCTTGTAATTCACTTTGAAATATAGACATTACTGAACTACATAAACCAACCTTTGATCGCGCAGTGTTAAAAATTGATCCTCTGTAATTTGTGTTGGTAACCCTGGTTTCCCTAATCTGTGACTTGTTTGAAATAATATTCATCTCTTTTGTGTTGGAGACAAGTTAATCTTTAGCACATAAAGAATGTGAGAACATTTACTTTCAATCAAATAGCAGAATCAGTTGTTGCTGTATCTTTTATCACACCTATATTTAAATATCTGCAGTATGTTTCATTGACCTGCCACACAAAACCAAACTTTGTTCTCTATCTTCCACACAAGGATCACATCCGTATTTAAAATATTTTGACTATTTGGAAATGGAATTACAAGTGTTCGTGTGATCTCAGATTTGAACTGATTATGTCAAGATGAGTATTTTGGCCCTGCTGGTTACTCTTCACAGAAAAATCCTCATAGTGTCCAGAAGGTTCTGCGGGGGGGGGGGGGGGGGGGGGGAGAAGGGTCTGCTGCCTTGAAAATGTCAGAGCAAGGGGCTCAGAAGAACCCAAATTCTGTGGTTCTCCTATGATCCAGTAGAGGACAGGGTCTGCACAGAAGCTCTGTGCCTCTGCACTGCCTTTTGGCTCCCTGCCCCTTTCTTGTATTCCCTGACAATCCGGTAACTCCCCCAGAAGAGAAGTTACTTCGCCCCCTGACTAAGAAACTTACAAGTTTTTGTCCTTTCTGCTCACTGATCTGGAGGAAACTATGACTTAGATTGTAAGCACTTAGGGCAGGGCATGTCTTTTGTTCTGTGTCTGTGCAGTGCCTAGCACAATGGGGTCCTGGTCCATGACTAAGGCTCTTAGGTGCTACAAGAATACACATAATAATAATTTATTGTCGTATATTTAAAAAAAAAAACACTGGTGAGATTTGCCAGTGCACATACTGTGGGTCCTAAGAGCTGGTCCAGTATGTCATTCTAACATTAAGATTCATCTATCATCTCCGTGGCAAAATATTGACACTTGCTAACTATTTCTAACACAGAAGGCAGTTTTATTGTAACTTTACCTTAATAAAATGTTGCAATTAATAAAAAAATATTCACATCATAACATATGTTTACAAATTTACATCATGGTAATTTACATAATGAAGGCAAGTTTTTCAGTCTGAACAGATTCTGACTGTTAGCTACATATAATGTTACAGCACAGTATGAATTATCACACGTGGGAATGGGAAATGGTATATATAAGAGTATGATAACCATGCTGTGAAAAGATGTGAACTGGTATGTGTTGCACTGTAGTCCATCTTGGTATTTACTCAGCCTACTTGAAACTCCCATGAACAACAGCTTCATTCTTTTCAAAGCCTAGAAGGATTTGCTACTCTCAGATTCTGTTGATGAAGAGTGGCAGTGGAGCCAAGTTCTGGATGATTATAATCATGCAAGGATTTTATACATAACAGGGAGCTCAAAGGAAGTAAAATGTACCTGTTTTCATGAGTCTTGCTGCTCAACTATTAAAAATATTAATAATTGCATTTGCCTGTTAATGAAATAAATAGAGATGGAAATCATTTAATTATTTTTCTGATCAGCCAGCAGATGTCACTATGAACATTTACAGTACTCTGTTGTGGGTAGCTGTTTGCAGAAGGAAATATATCCCACTAGAAAACCAGAGGGGAAGAAATGTTAAAACTTGTTTTTTAAGAAGGATGGGCTAAGCCATAAAAATGAGGAGGAACCAATGGCAAAATAATAATAAATACTGGGCATTATAATTACTGCATACATGGCCATAGGGATTCACTCCACATGAGGGCTGGTAGTGCCATCCTCCCAGTGGGGAACTGCCAGGGCACTTGTGTGTGGAGACTTGCCAGCGCTATGCTGAATTACTGCCGGTGTTAACCAGCCCAGGAAATTCAGTGGAAGTAAATCTGGGCCCTTACTCTTGAGTTTGATCTGCAAGTGCCACTTGCTCAGAACAGCTGCTTACACAAATGCCACCTAAAATCTGTTCAGATACTGGAGTCTCAGCAGTCTGGGGCCAGAATTTTATTTTCGGAATACAAAGTCGGCTACTATCAGATATACTTTAAATTCCTGTCGGATTTTAATCCTTCATGTATTTCTAATGGTATTTTCATTATGAATTACTGATAAGTATACGAATATCAAAAAGCTAAATTTTAAAGACATGTTCAGACTCAATTTTATGTAGCAACTCATGAAAATCTGATTGCATACAAAGCTTCCAATAACTGCTTCACATCCACTTGAATGTTTCTGTCTCTAGAACGTTAAATGTAGCTGAACATAACCTAAACGCTATGGGTCAGTGCTAGAATGATTTGAGGTTTAACAGTCCCTAGTAAACTTAGCCCGTTGCCTCCACAATCCACTCAACTCCCACTACAGCAAGTGACCAGGGAGCTAGATTCATTTGCAGGGCTAGGCTGTCTTTTTCTGGCATAAACCGTCTCAGAGAGGTTCAAGATCAAAAGTCTGTAGAGGAGGCTGCAGTCAGACAAAGAGTCCACAGCCTCCCTTCTTTCAGTGGCGGCACAGGGAACGAACACAGCCCCAGAAAGATGACTGACACTGGTTGGAAAGTGGGTATGGCCGGGGCAGCTGGCAGGTGCACTGATTCAGCACTCCCGAAGGCATCTCCTGCACCAGGAGCGCCTATGGAGTTCCAAGTGGAAATAAAATCTCTTCTTTCCACAATCCTCCCTGAGATACAAGGGACCATACTGGGGCAAGGAAGTACAATGTGCACCTCCTTATGGCAACTTTAGGGAATCTGCTCCTGATGTCATAGTCCTAGCTGTACACTATTATTAATTATTATTATTATTATTATTATTGCCTTAGCCCCTAGGAGTCCCAGTCTTGGACCAGGACCCCATTGTGATGGGTGCTATACAAACACAGAACAAAAATATGGTCCCTGCCCCACTAAGCTGGCCCTACATATATATATGGTTGAAAACACATTTCCTAGTGGTGAGATGACGGTGATGATATGGCTATAAAATGTTTTTAAAAATAAAATAAAGCCTCTATAAATACAGTTATTTTGTTATTGTTTTGTTACTGTATTGGAGGATAGAAAATATGACCAGTATTTCTTTCTCGTTCTTTCTTATTAGATTAACAGAAACTAATAATTTCCTTTTCTAAAAGATTTTTCTCCTTAGACTAAAACACTGCGAAATACAGTGATAACATGCATCACTTGAGTACGTACTTACTTATTTTACAATGACTTCATTTTGTTTTAAATGTTCACAGAATTTCCAATGTGCTGCTTTGCAATATGACAGAGAGGGTGTCATTTTGGTTTGTGGTCACAGACTCTGCCAGAAATGTGACAACTGTTCCTGGAAGTGAAGTAGAGGCAGCCATAAGGTAAAGTAATTGTCCCTCCCTCTGACTCTTCCTTGGCAACCAAAGATGTTTTCTTAATGTGGACCTGTGTCTCAGGCCGTATGAACTAGCACTCTGTGTTTTTTAATTACATGAATTAGTTTATAGTTAAACACAATGGGGTCTGTACTCTTCTTCCTACATGCATGTGAGATTAAAAGGCGTTATATATGGCTGAGGGAGAACAATCTCTTTGAACTCTTCTTGTAATGTGTGAGCCTTTGGGAGGTTGATTGCAACTTTGAAAGGTGTCTTTTTTTTTTTAACTGTGGGTTCTCATGATGTCTAGACATGATGAGCTCTGACTGTAGCCTACTGTTCAGTGTGTGTTGCACATGCCCCTCTAATGGCTGATCCACAGAGTCTGCTACAGCTCCCAGACAGGAGATTTAGTACTTTTAGTTCAAGTAACAGAGGCTCATGCTTTTAGTGCTGAATGTTCCCGTTTCATATTGCACTGTCAGCCCAAGCAAATAATCCAATGCTCACATTCTTTTTATCTTAGGTCTTTGTGGGAAGCCTGTCACTGTAGTAGATGAGCACCATTTGCACACAATACAGTGTAGCATAAGTTATCCCACTTTCCCATTAAAAATCATGCTCTAAAGCTAGAAAAACAATAATATGGAGCTGCATAGGAAGAGAAGAAAAATAGGTTATCAGACCTCAACAGTTTACGATGTGTTCACAAGGCCTTTGCAAGGGTAACTCCCATAAATAGAGTTACCCACATATGTTTCCCAAGCATCAAATGAAAAATAGACCCATTGTTTTTAAATATACTGCACTTTGTCTTTAAAAACCATGTTATCTTTGCAAAGGCGTAATACCTAATTCCTGATGAATGAGTATGCGTTCTTTTGGAAAGATTAACTTTAAGCTTCTGAGCAGATTAAACTATTTCCTACAGAGATACCCAGCAACAACTTCAGTGCATTAGTGGGCAAAGGAGGTTATTTATTCACTGAAACTTGCTAAGAGTGTTGGAATGTACCATTTTTTAATTCATTTCTGTTGTTCTTTGATACATTCGGTAGCATAAGCTGATTTACAGTAAGTCTTTTATAGGCACTGTTTGCCACAGAAATTGGATGCTGTTATAACATGTTTGGTTTTTAACTGTTGTCTCTCACCTACTAAAGAAGAGTATATGCTTTTAAAAATGTTTAAATTCCTATCAGTAGGTTAGAGATAAGAAACAAAATTCTCTACAGAATGAGAACTCCTGTGCTCAGTATTGAACTACTTTTGCTTACAGTATGCTGAATCTAAGTTGGACATGCAAAATCTATTCAGTGTTATGAATCAAAATCAACATCTGACAAGTGCAAGATTCCTCCTTTGATGATAATTATACTAATTAATAGGTATAATCAGGGCTGGCTCTGGCTTTTTCGCCGCCCCAGGCGAAAAAGCCTCCGGCCCCTGCCCCCCCCCCCCCCGGGGGGGGGGGGGCCGGGGCCCCCGGGGGGGGGGGGGGGGCCCCCGCGGGGGGCCGGCCCCCCCCCCCCCCCCCCCCCCACGGCCAGAGCGCCGGGGGCAGGGCGGCGAGCCCTGCTGTGGCCCCGCTCTCCCCGGCGGCCGCCGCGCCGCCCCCCTCCAGGTGCCGCCCCAAGCACCAGCTTGGGTGCCTGGTGCCTGGAGCCGGCCCTGGGTATAATAATAAAATTTGTTTTAGCGACAATTCCATTTGTTTTTTACATATTCCATCTCATGAGAGTCTATGCATGACCCAAAGCAGAATCAATTAGTAATATAATAAATACATTAACAGTGATAATATAAAGTCTCGTCCTTATCCCCTAAGCTTTCAAACAGTTGCATATGGGAGTCTTGTGGCTAACACCCTGCACAGGATATATAGGGATCAGTGACAATGGCTATGCAATGTATGCAGCCTAAAAACTTCATATTGGGCCACATTCAGCCCTGCCAGAGTTGTACTGCCTACATCAGGGCTATATTTTCCTCATTGTCTTTTCATTTATAAATGTGTTTATCATTTGTGTTGTGTTTTGTATTTTTTTAAAGGATGAACAGAAACAGAATCAACAGTGCTTTCCTACTGACAGACAACACGCTCCAGTTCTTGAAAATTTCCTCCACTTTATCACCACCCATTGAACCCACTGTGCCTGTCTGGGTTATTGTGTTTGGTGTTGTTCTTTGCCTCGTTGTGGCTGCAATTCTTTTCCTCGTTGTTTCAGGAATCCGGCAACGCAAAAAGTAAGCTGTGCTTTTGTTTTAACCAACTGTTAGTGAATTAAGTGAACTAGAAGTGTTAGAGTTGGATCATTCTGCAGTTCACATTGGTTACAAAGAAACAATAGCAGCCTTTTCTCCCCAGTTGAGGATATCTGTCCTTTAAAAGGGCAGGTGTTGTTATTTTGGACTGTGGAGTTGTTAACTCAAGGTAAGAATGTGATCTTGGAGGCCTTGTTAATAAAGATGATTGCTTTACAAGGAGTTTATTTGCTGCCAGCCCCCGTGCTGCAGGTAGGTCTCCTGTCAGAGATAAGGCATGTGAGAGGGGAAAAGGCTGGCAATGATTGTGGCTACTGATTTTTAAGACTGGCAGATTTAAAACTCTGCTCCTGATTTGTGCAGATTCAGGAGCCACTCGCAGGGCAGACCAATGACTGAAGGGCTACTTGACTGAAATTTTAAAAGGGCCTGATCCTGTAAGTCAGTGTATGGCCTCAGCTCCCATTCACTTCATGAGGAGTTCTAGGAGCTCAGCATCTCACATGGTCAATTCCAGATTGGACTCGCCATGAGACTAGATTATCATGGCTATGCAGTAGAGTAAGGAGTAGTTGTCTCCCCTCTCCTTACTACCCTGCTCATATTGCAGCACCAGTCATAGTGTTCAGTGCATCGTAGCCATGGCAGTCCTAGTAAGGGTTACTTACTTGATACTTGCTGCTGTGAGCCAGTGAGTTCATGGGGATAGAGAGGGGAAGGGAGTGGGTGGAGCCTTGGGTTTGACCCCCGGCTCCCATTCTGTTCCTACTTGCTGTTATTTCAGATAGTTGTACTTAGATAAGGACATCTCTAAGCTCATCTGAGACTCTCCTGCTTGATCATACAGTGAAGAGAACATCCTTTATTTGACTATGATCATTATGGACATTGATATGTTGTCACAAGCATTATGATTTCATTGCAGGCTCAAACAGGAATCAGAGATAGATTGGGAAAGTACAAACTCTTGTTGACAGCTGGATAGCTTAAACATTAGCAAATAACAAAATGGAAAAAAAAAAAAAAAAAAAAAATTTCACGAATAATCCAATGTAAATGGATTTATGTGTGAAGACTGAGATGTTGCAGAGATTTCCCCAGTATAAAAATGCCTCATTTTAGGCAAAGAGGTTGAAACAACTGGGTAAAAATAACATATACTGCTAGTGTTGAGTGAACCCTATGGAGTTGGAGGTTTGGTGAGGCTTTCAAATTATTTTTTTGGATTCAGAAGACTGGTATGAATTTGTGAAACTCTTCCCCATCTAATCCCATCCCTGTTTTAAACAACAAGAACAAAACCTAGCCAATGAATGAATGCTGTTCTTGTGGTTAAGGCACTGACCTGAGATTCAGAAGATCTGGGTCCAGTTCTTAGCTCTGCCACAAACTTCTGGTGTGATCTTGGGCATCAATGAACTCCCCTGAAATCAATGGGAGTTAAACACCTAAATCCTTTTGAGGTCCTGAGCTTTAATCTCTCTGTTACCCTTACAGAAATTACCCCTTCTGTACATCTAGGATAATAATACTTCCGTATCTCATCCTCTGACTGTCTTGTCTACTTAGACTGTAAGTTCCTCAAGGCAGGGACTGTCTCATACTGTGCATGTGAGCAGTGACTAGCACAGTGGGGCCATGATCCCCGTTTGGGCCTCAAGGCCCTACTGTAATACAAATTAATAATGATAATAATAAGTAATCATGATTCTCTAGTTAATGGGAAGCCTGTTCTGTAGATTAGGGACAAAAGACACACACCACCATCTCCTTCCTCCTTCTCAAAAATAAGTAGGCTGGCACAGGAGGGGTCCCTATATATGGTATATACTGTTTAATTTGTTTTATTTAGAATATTTTTCTTTTCCCTTCTCCGCTTCTTCCTCTTCTCTAAATTTGTTTTTCATCCTGCCCATTCTCTGCTCCATCGCTTGCCCTTATATTTTCATTAGATTCTTTTGCTCTCTGCTCACCTTGTCTTCTTTTCACTATCATCTTTTCTCAGCAAAACACAAACTCAGCTCATGTTTGAATTCTATCCTACTTTCAAGCCAACAGTGGTTGAAGGGAGTTGAATATGAGGAAAAACAAATGTGTTTGTTCCTGTCCACTGCTGGGAGGATTTAAGGGTTACAGGGAATGTTTGGGCCACTTTGCTTCCCAAGGGAAGAGACAGGCACTTGGGACCAGATTTTCAAAGGAGCTCAGCTTGTTGGGTATCACACTGGGAGTTGCTTCCTTTGGAGTGCTTTCAAAAATCTAGCCCCCCTTATAGGTGTTGAGTATTTGAAAATCTGGCTCTTTTTACTTCAGTGGTCTTTGGATCAGGCCTTTACAGAGTGAGCAATGTACGGCAGTTTAGGCCCTGATTCAGTAAAGTATGTAAGCATGTGTTTAAATCCATCCCTGTTCAGGACAGCATGTAAGCATGTGTTTAACTTCAGTAGGACTTATTAAGTCTCATTGAAGTGAAGCACATGCTTCAGTGCTGTCCCAAATAAGGATGCTTTTCTCAATCAGGGCCTTGGTGAGTAATATTCAAGATCTACTGCCCCCACATACAACTCCAAGAACCATCTAGCTCTAGCTTCAGGTCCTCTCATTATAGGGCTCAATTTTCCTCTCTATTGAAATCAGTGGCAGTTTGGGCACTGATCTCAGTGGGAGCTGGATCAGGCCCATACTGAACAGACTCTCTCTCCAGTCCCTCATAAGCCTGGTTTCCAATGTGTTAGCTCTATCACCATGGCAGCACGTCATCTCCTTCTCTGCTAATAGACTTGTCTCATTTCCAAGCTAGGAGAGACAACCCCAGAAGCATGTCACAAGCAGGAGGAGAGGAGTTTATTACCCACTCTCATTTATTTTTAGCAGGTCTCTAAACTCCAAGTATCTCTCGCAGGCCAGTAAAGTTTTATTATTGTTAATATTACTGATGTATAAGTACTGAGTCAGGTTGTCACAATGTGTTATGGGATTGGAAGAAATACTGTAGCTAACCTGTGAGTTTCTTATCATTCTAAGTTGCTGATGCTGCAGTCTGTAAAGTACAGCAGGTTTTTTCAGCTATGAATCAGCAGGTCTCAAGGTCAAAATAAATATGGAAATTAAAGGAACTATATAGTCATTGTTGACTAAATTTGCTTACAGTTTGTCAGTTTAGATCATTTTCTTCAGCACCTATTTTATTATGGTTGGTATCAGAGTTTGAGTCTGGAAAAGTGAAAGTATGCAAGACATATTGCTATTTAATCTAGCAGCCAAAGATCCAATGGCTGGAAGTTAAAGCTAGTGAAGTTTGAACTGGACATAAGATACAAATTTAGAACAGTGGGAGAAACTTACCATTGGAATAGATTACCAAGAAATGTGGTGCATATATTCTCTAACATCTAACGTGTCTTTAAGTCAAGTTGTTGGGCTAGATGCAGGAATCATTGAGTGAAATCTATGGCCTGTATTATGCAGTAGGTCAGACTAAATGATCATGGTGGCCCCTTATAGCCTTGAAATCTATTAAGTATATGAATGTGTATTTTATTCTTTGTTTTCCTTTTCTATTTTTCACCCTCCTCCAAGCCATTTTACAGAAGGGGAAACTGAGGTCTAGAAGTTAAGTGAGGCAACAGAAGGGAGCCAGGGTGAAAGTGATATTAGAATTTACTTAGGAATTTCTGACTCCCATTCCTATCTTCAGATGAGTAGACTATGCCTCTTTGTATATAGTGTGTTGTAAACTTCTTAATAAAAGTGCATGCTAAACTATTTTTCTTATGTCCAGTCTTTGTTGAATGGTACACTTTGATTGCAGTAATGTAATTTTGTTATTCCTTTTTAGAAATAACAATGAGTCTGCAGAGACAGGAGATTTAGAAGACAAATGTGACACACCAGTGACAACAGAAAATGGGATTCCCTGTGATATACTAGATTTAAAAGCAGGCCAGATTAATGGAGTCTACGCAGCAGATGATGAACGGTTCACACCACTATGAAATGTCACAGTTTCTTTTTGGCTTCTTTGAGAGAGACTGCACTAACTCTATGTAGTCATGACTGATGAATGTCAAGCATTAAGGCAAGAAAAATATGACTTGTCAGCAGGGCCGGCTCTAGAGTTTTTGCCGCCCCAAGCACCAAAAATAAAAAAATAAAAATCCACGATCGCGATCGGCGGCAGCTCTACCGCCGCTTCAGTCTACGGCAGCAATTCGGCAGCAGGTCCTTCGCTGCGAGAGGGAGTGATGGCCCCGCCACCGAATTGCCGCCGAACGGCCGGACATGCCGCCCCCCTCTTCATTGGCCGCCCCCCGGCACCTGCTTGTCCTAACCTTGTCAGTTATTTTCCCTTGAGAGAAACTTTCCTTGATAAAACACAAACACACAAAACTGTATTACAAAGCTAAAACAAAGGAAAACACTCAATTGTTCATTAAACATTTTCAAGAAGTGTGTGGTGGAATGAGGTTGAAGGCTGTCTTACATCAGATGCTTAGTTATTAACGATTATTTAAAGACATCATTATGACTAGTTCATTGTTCTTCTTAAAGTGATGTCCCTATTGGTGCTCCGTTGTAGGTGCGGCAGTGTCTCCTGCGCCTGGTATCGGAGATCTTCACCAGAAGTGCCCGTAGGACTGCACGTGTGCATCTTGTCTCTCTCACACTGTGCACAGGACATATATATATATACCACTGTTTGGTCAGACAGACAGCCCCAGTTCCTTCTTTATTACCTTTGGTCTGGGACGGAAGCCGCTAGCAGAGCTCGCTGCTCCTCATAGATAGTTCCTTACCTGATAGAGTAGTTAGTATTTTCCTCTTCTTCTTTCAACATCTATCTATAAAAAAATTGTTTTTTGTTTTAACTTTATCTTTACAGTTATTCTCATAGCTTAGGTTTCCATTTATCCCACTTCCCGCCTTCCAGACTGGGAAGCCCTTTTCCCTTCACCCTTATGCCCAGCTCTCCCAAGTATAAGAGGTGCGTTCGTGCGGGGCCGCCTTCTCGATAATGGACATCCACCCACAGTGTATCCACTGTCTGGGAGAGGGACATGTCCCTCAAGTGTTCTCACTGCCTCGGCCTGAAACCCAGAGCTAGAAAGAATAGGGATATTAGATTGAAACTTCTCCTCATGGAGAAATCACTACATCCAGGATTGGACCCGGGCCCGGACTCTTCCCCAGAGAAGCCTTAATGCTCTGCCAGATTGTCTGCCGACCCCCACTCTCCATGTCCTGTGAAGAGAAAGTCATCCGTGATCATGCAGATAACAAGAAACAGGCTTCCTTCTCCTCAAACTCTGAGGCTCAGCCCTCCAGAACACCATCCCTAGCTAGGTCAGTGGCTTCAACCTCATCCCACAGGGGACATAGCTCCAGGGCTCATCTGAATACCTCTGGTACTGGATCAAAGAAATGGTCTAATGATCTTGTCCGGGCACCTTCAGCCCTCGGCGTCATTTCCCAGCTGTGGGGACCAAGGCAGCCCGCTTGCAGGAGCTATGGCACCAATGCCATTTCTGGTACCGACGAAGCTGTTGGCACCGAGTAAGTCCTTGGGACCATCAAAATAGTTGGCACCAGCCAAGTCACCAGCACTGACCGAATCATCAACTCCAAAATCTTCGGCACCAGGCAAGTCTTCGGTACCGGCCAAGTCATTGGCACCAGCCAAATCTCTTGTGCCATCTTCTGAAACATCAGGGACATACACTTTCTCTCCATCACCATGCATTACAACCGCACTGATGATGCTCCTTCCCCTTCCACACGACTTCAGATACCTTAAAGACCTCTGGTATCTGACACTCCCGAGTCTCTGCTTCTTCGACGGAACTTCCCCCCATTTCTACCCTCCTCCCTGGACTCACGGCGTTCCTCCCTCTCTCTGCCGAGGACAACACTTCCCTTCCCAGTAAGGAGGAGGAAGAGGAGAAGGAGGACGAGGGCTCCATTGTTCCCTCGACTACTGGACAAATTGCACCAGCTTATCCTCACTATATGCGGACTACCTCTGACTCCCAATCCTGGCAGGGCCACCATGGATGCAGCCACATGTGTCATTCCCACCAAACTGACCATATTGGGACCCTTAGGCCAGGTACAGGGCACAATTTGGGAACCTTCGCAGAGAGCAAAGCCAGAGACATACACCTCTCCCTTCTCCATTGGTCTCTCACCCTCAGGAAGTCAAACCGCCACTGATACCAACTGAGGAGGAAGAGTAGGAAGAGGAGGCTCCCCCAACTTTACATTTTTCCTCCTCCTTATCTGACGAGGCAATTATGCCTCCATCCTCTATATCTGCCGACAACTTCAGGCACTTTCAAGATCTATTCCATAGGATTGCGGACTCCCTATAGATCCCTTTGGAGGACGTCAAAGACCAACAGTATAAACTGCTGGATATCCTCCACACATCCTCTTCCTCAAAGATCGCACTACCGATCAATGAGGCTTGTCTCAAATCTGCAAAGGTTCTGTGGCAGACCCCGGCTTCCATCCTTCCAACCTGCAAACACGCCAACAGAAAATATGTTCTGGCAAAGAATACTGAATTTTTATTTTCGCACCCCATCGCAAATTTTTTGTTGGTCAATGCGGTGCAGGAGAGGAGCCGTCAGTACCAATCTCGATCTAGTCATCCAGACAGAGATTGGAAATGCCTGGACCTATTTGGATGCAAGACATACTCTTCAGCCACACTCCAATTTAGGATTTCAAATTATGAAGCTCTCATGGCCAGGTATAATTATCTGAATAACTCCAAATGGGAGGAACTTTACTATGATCTACCAGAGACCAAAAAGGAGCAATTCCAGTCCTAGATATCGGAGGGACACCTCCTAGCCTGTAGAGCCCTACAAGCCTCATTAGACTCTGCAGACACTGCTGCTCGATCCATCGCACTGCTATGGTCATGAGGCATGCATCATGGCTCCACCTCTTGGGCTTTCCTAAGGAGGTACACAGTAGGGGACTTACCATTCAAAGGCTAGAACTGTTCTCTGAGCGTACAGACGACTCTTTGTACTCCCTTAAAGACCCCAAGCTACATTTTGTTCTCTCGGGATATGCACACAAGCACCAAAGAGACACTCGGGGAAGTACCAACTCCCACCGCAGTCCCAAACTCAGCAGTATACCTCTCAATGGCACTTCAACACCCAATGCCATTGACAAAGGCCTCAGTCTAAACGTAGACAGCCCACTTCTCAAGGGACTACCTCTCATGTACTGGCACCAAAGCAACAATTTTGAAGGTGTGATCAAGGCCCCAAGAAGCCTTCCCTTGTTCCAGTCATCCCCACCATCTCTGATGTTCCAATAGTTAGGCGACCGCTAGCTCAATTTTTCCCATCTTGGAGTCTCATCACCTCAGATAAGTGGGTTCTAGAGATAGTCAAGGAAGGATACTCCTTCCCATTCCTATTCCGCCCGCGCCCCCCTTCCCTCTTCAGGGACCCCTCTCATAAGTCCTTTCTATGGGAAGAAATAAATCACCTTCTGCAACTGGGAGCCATAGAACAGGTCCCTCCCCAACACACGAGAAAGGGTTTCTACTCCCACTCTTTTCTGATTCAGAAGAAGCCCGGTGGCTGGCGTCATATCCTAGACCTTCGCAATCTAAACAGATTCGTCAAGCTGCAATGTTTCAAGATGGTTACCCTCTCCACTATTATCCTAGCATGAAACAATGGGACTGGTTCTCTGCCCTCAACCTCCAAGACGCATACTTTCATATTTCTATACATCCTGCCCACAGATGATTCCTCTGGTTTGTCGTGAGCACTGACCACTGTCAGTACAAAGTACTGCCCTTCGGACTATCCACAGCACCTCGGGTGTTCTCCAAGGTCCTTGCGATAATCGCAACCTACTAAGGAAAAGAGGAATTATCATTTTTCCATACTTGGATGACTGTCTCCTCGAGGCCCCATCTGAAATCTACATTCTCCGAGCCACCCACATAACAACGGACTTGTTCATGAAGCTAGGTCTCCTCGTGAACCTAGAAAATCCACAGTGAAAATAGAACAATTCCCAAGGGGTATGGTAAATTCTGCTTCACTTGGACTCTAAATCATGACTGGATTTCTGTCTAAAAGACATGCTCTACTTTGACCACCAGTTATTGGGCTGGATACAGACATCACTGTGAAATTCCATAGCCTGTGTTATGCAGGAGATCTGACTGGATGGTCATAATGGTCCTTGCTGATGGCCTATTCATATCTGGGAATCTCCCATTGACATGAATGGGAGCTGAGGGCACCTCAGAGGATCAAGCCCTAAATTCTGCCCTTGGACAACTTTAATGAGAGCCATTCACATGTAATCCATGGTATAAATTAATATTAAGGACACTATCCTGCTCCCATTGAAATCCATAGTAAAGGTCCCTTTGACTTCAAGGAATAGAATTGGGCCCTAAGCAGAGAAGAATTATATATATTGTTAAAAGAGGATATGAGTATGTTGAGGTGAGGAATTGTATCTACATGACTGCATAAACATCTGCTTACTTTCTTCTACATCCTGTCCCGTCCTTGCAACTCCTTTGGAAAATACAATAATACACTTGAGGATAGAATTTGGCCAGTGTCACTACAATTATCATTTCTTATTTCAAGAGAACATTTAAACCATTATTTAAGCATTAGTGTTTCACAGCATATTTTCAAACTCTTTACCTACAACAGGAGCATGTGTAAAGTGAAAAGAGCTGGCAAAGACTCTAGAGTCCGGACTGGCTATGCGTATCCCTGCCCCCCAGGAGACCAACCCCACCTTCATTGACGGTGTTTTCCTTTTTGGTTTCTCCCACTCATCCTTGAATCTCAGGTTGGGGTGAGAAGGGACCAGGGTATAGAACAGTGGGAACAACATGTGTAACAAGGAAAATGGGGCATTGAGACACATGAGAAGAGGGAAGGGAGGAAGGAGGCAATTAATAAAAATAAAATCACAGCGCTAACAAGACATATGC